TATTCCCATCAAATTATAATTTAGATTATAGTTGTCTTGTATCATTCCAAAACCTCTCTTTTCCCCCCTACTCATATATCTCTTCCTCTCCATTTTTGTTAGCATGTGAAATGAGCCCAACATGATTTCATGGTCATACATTGTTGTTGTCCCTAGTATGGTCTTTTTTTTCTTGTTGGACTTCATACCAAGGATTGCTCCTTCCATTGTGTTATGATCATACCCGGTTAAGTCGATACCGGTGGCAGTTTGTGCTGACTGGTTCGGAGTTGTGTGATGCTGAAATTCGCTTTAAATATTTGTATGTGAGTTGGGGTCGAATGAAGATTCAGTTGCTATCACTCGCAAAGTAATTTGGTTTCGCATATGGATATACCTACTTACTAACGTTCAAGTGATTTAATCTTGATGCAAATGGAATTCTCAATAGCTAAGTATATCCATATCATTCTACCATCCCATTGTTCAATATGTGCATATCTCGAGAAGACTTCTAACGCTTTCTCTTCAAGTATGTGGACACTGGACCGAGTATTGGTTTGACAAGTGCCCGTCGTTGTTTGGTTGAGTGGGGATTGATCAAAGGAGACAACACTCAGTCTCAAACCCTACCAAGCTTGGCTAGCCTCTTCTACTTGGGGATTTCAAACCTACGACCAACAAGTTCAAAATCATTAGAATTACCTCTCAACCAACCCCTTACTCGCATCAAAATCTCATATATTAAAAAGGATGAAGAAGAAAGGATTGAATATCGATCATCCACGTACCTATAATGCTTCCAAAGGGGCATCATCATATCGACCATCGCCGGCCATGAACTCTTTCCAAATTCATACTATTGCGTGATCAACAATGCTCCAAGTGAAGGACAATAGCAATATTTCTCGAACAATTTTCCATCCATCGAAGCTATATATCTTTAACATGCAATCATCGACCGATTTCCTTCCATAGGAAACCGATTTCATGTATGATTGAAGCTCGTCAAGACCCACCAATTTTATCCCAAGTGGGAAAGAAAAATGTAACAAGAGAGAAGAGAAGAGAAACCTACCCAACTAGATAAAGCCCACCACCATTACACCACAAGAATTAGGGCAATCACAAATATATAGCTTCTGCCAGCCGCCAATCCATATAGCTATCAATTCATTGTCATCCCATTAGTCGACATGAAAACACAACCATATGCTCTTAGATATGCCATCACTTCGTGAAATAGTATCCGTATTGATAGCATCGTTACTATTATTATTTTCGTATATCTTCTTATCGTTGACTTGTTATCTTAAATGGAACGTCTTCATTGCTATGCGAGGATTCAGATCGGTCGAGTAACAGTTCATAATACTCTGAAAGGTTGAATTGAGAATCCACGAAATCAAGCAAAGGCGGATGTACGTAGTCGTAGAGAAACTAGCTTAGCTATCTCCAATGAAACATCGAGTTCGATAAGGATTCATATCGAATAATGAGTAACGCTCCGCAATACTTGATAGGGTTTGACCTCATAATCCATGAAATCAAAGGAGAAATGGATCTAGGGAAAGTGGCTTAGGTATAGGCTGTAGCAGAAAATTGTAGCTAGGCATTAATGCACATTCAGAGTATTTGAACATATGTGCAAGAATGGTGGGTTGGAGGGATCATAGACAAGGACACTTTGCTTCCCATCTTCCCCTTCCTATTTATGCCTCTATCCCCCCAACTTTTATGTCCCTATCCAACAATCCCACAATCCTCTTTGCAATGTTGTATCTTTTGTTTTGTGTTCTTCCCTCCTTTACTTCCCTCCAATATTGTGTCATATACCATCTGTGACACTCGTCGAACACGATCGTGTCGAAACTACGTATCAATCTTTGACCAAAACTTACACGAGATCTCACCAGATGATAGCATAACAAGTATTCAACGATCTTGTTACCGTACCTCTAAACCGATCTTGTCACGATTCGTGGTCCTACCGTATGAATTGGCTTTCTTCATCAATTGCTTCCTTCTCACTTGTTCTTCAGCGGATGGGTCCTTCTTTGGGTTCAAAGAGGAGTGAATGAATGAATGAATCGAAGAGCATGAATATATGGTTTTTTCGTATCTTCACATGATGGGAGCCATGTGATGGTATGTCACGATCTCCCCATTATTTTTTCTTCTTCTTCTCCCCCATCTTAATTATCTTCAACTTCTTGCCATAGTAACAATTATTAAGAAGGGCTTATGTGATGATGATAGTATCATAATAGTTTTTTTTTTTTGTCATAGAAATCCTTGCGGATTAACCAGATAAGCGTGTGGGCTCACAACAATTACAACCTCTACACGGACTCAAAGACAGACCATATAGGAATAATCAAACAATACATTACATATACCAAGATAGCGAAGGGCATTACGTGCCACAATATGGACTGCCCGGTTCGCTTCTCGAGGTGTGTAGGCCAAAGTAACCAAAGGTAGACAGGGGAGAAGAGATAACACTTCACGATATATTGCGCCGCACCGAACATCATGAGAATTATTAGTCTGTAACCGCTCCAACAGAGCTTGTGCATCACCAGTAATCTGAACAGGTTGATCATACCATCCCAACGGGAAAGGAGGAGTTAAGTATCATAATAGTTGTTTTCTATAAGGTTTCGTGATTATCAAATTAGGACTTACATATTGGATAGATGTAAGTTAGTGCTGTTAGGAAAATGAAGCATTCACAAATAAGTTACCCGGTTAGAAACTCCTATTACTATGTCACTTTGTGTATAGTCATAGTTTTAGGCTTTTAGCCGTTGTAGTAGTCATTGTTGTTTTGTATCATTACGACTACGACGAAATCATTGTCGTAACTATTATAATACAATTCAACTGTCACATCATAAATATAAGGGAAACGACCCTCGTAGATTATTGTTCACCTAGCCCAATAAGCATGAGGTCTTTTTGGGAAGGAATCCAAAAGTAAAATCGTGTAGGTTTCGGCCAAATCAGATAATATCGTACTAATGGAGCGCCGGTTTCAATATGCGGTATCATAGCCTGGTCCGGACTTCGATTCCGAGGCGGTGGGTGTCAGTTTGTTGGACCCTCATTCGGTGTCCTAGAGATTTGAGGTAGGTATTTGTCTGGCGGATCAGGGAAGATTCGCGTCTTGTGATCTACCTGACATATCAATGGAGACATGCATCTGGTCAATCCTTGTATCGAAACTCCTGTCGATACAACATGTTTGGCATATCAAGATAATCGCCGAGAAGAGTACGAAGAAGTAAGTCTGTGACGTAAAAACTAAAACGTACCGGCTTGAGCCCATTAGGGTGGTTTTCAAAATCGGTACAAAACTACAAATCCATCCACGCGTTTAGTGACAAAAGAGGGCTTTGGAAAATCATGGTGCCCCTGGCTGTCCCTCCAGAAGGGTAGAAGCCCTACCCACCTCACTCCCCCACACTTGAAAGCCCAAATTAAGAAGGACCCAATTCCCTCCGACCATCCACGACCCACTTCACTATGTGGGGGGCTTTTCTTAGAAAGGGGGTACTTCCCACTTACGTAGTGTTTGCAAAATCGTACTATCAATCGGAGTTGAAGTTGGGAGGCAAATTTCATAAAATTCAATAACACTATAACAAATTTTGAGTTTATTGGGATCCTTAGATGAGCTAACATCGACGAGAGTATGGGATCCTAAACTTGCATTATATCTATGCTCTGTGTATTTAAAGGGTTTTGTTGTCACGTTTTTTTTTTTGTGTCAAATGGAGTCCTAGGACGGTACTCTTCTCCACCTCCCTCCGCCACTCATCGTCTACCATTAACTTTTCAGATACAATTTCCGATTTATGATCCTTTCCACCTCTGTAATCTAGAGGGAGGGGGTGTAAAGTTTGAGGGACAATTTATTTACCACCAGAACAACTCAGGGGACAGTGTCCTACACCAGATCAAAAGCCCCAACCACAATGTCCACAACATGCTGGCCATTGCTCTGTTTTTTTTTTTTTTTTTTGCCTCCAGCCTTGTCAGTGAAAAAAACTGGCAGTAGGGTTGCGACATGGAAAGGGACAGATGGGGAGGAAGTGATCGAAGAAGAAGAAGAAGAAATGGGGGCTAGCTAAGTATATCCGGTTCCTGAGACACAGGCAGGGCAATTAAGTTGGGTGGTGGTGGTGGAGAATTGGAGATCACTAATTCCACCCTCTGTTTCTCTGTTTGTGTTTCTGTGCTGTCCCTTTTTTTGAATGGGTACTTTAGGTTGTTTCATATGGGGCTTCACATGTCATGAATGTCCAGATTTGGAGGGAGAGGAAACGCCATTATTGTATGTTTTAGATCTTTATACAGAACCGTCGGTGCTCCAAGACAATAAGGTTGTCAAATCTGTATCCGGTTCGATCGGGTCCGGCCGAGATCCATCGTATAAACGGTTGGAAAACACTTTCGGTTGGACGGTTCTATGAAAAAGTCAAAGTCGGTTTGATATCAGAGGTTTCCCCACATATTATGCTAAAGTCGATTGAATTGGTTGGACCCGATCCAACAATTAAACCTAAACCCATTTGTCAAACTGGCTTGATGGCTTAAACCTAAACCCAACCAGGCCCATTTCCATTGAGGAAAAAGATAAGAAGTCTGTCAGACGTTCAGCCAACGACTGGGTCCAGTTTCGTTCAGTTTAAGCAGGCCAGGCCCACTAAGTAACGGGATCGGTTTTTGCCCGTCGACAGTCTTACCGATCAGTCCCATCTGTGTTCTTACCAGTTTGTTTGTCCCCGTCCCTGGCAGTGGCAGGCAGCCGTGACTGTCGTGATTTCTCAACTTCTGGCTGTCGACTGTCGTCACTCTCATTCTTCGACTGAGAGATGCACAAAGCAAACAATGTTGGCAATGCCTGTCTACTCGACAATCGCTTCGCAATTACTCCATGGGAACATTGTTTGTTCAAGCTTATTCGAATTGCGCTGCAAAGTTCGGGTTCGAATCAGTTGCGAATTACGCATTTCAGAGGGAAGATCATTGTGGATTTGTAAGAACGTTCTTGAATGTGTGACTTGCAGGATGCCGATCTACTTGACAATCGCAAAAGGATCGGAATACAGAGCATCTGATCACAATAGATTCAATGCTTCGAGAGAAACGAATAGGAAAATTATGGCAAACACTCAGCTCCGTCTTTCCAATCATACCGGTTCCAAAAAATTCAGATATCCAACAAAACATCACCATAAACCCAAAACCAACAAATACGAAACCACAAGTTCCACTCTACCACAGAAAAAAAAGTGCACCACTTGCTCAAACAGAACTCTACTACTAGTTTGTCTTTAGAAAGGTTCTCAGGATAGTTGAACCTGCAAATACAAATGGGCACATCCCATCATGAAAGAGAGAAACTCAGGAGATGACCAAGACATAGCACCCCAGGCACAAGCGAGAACCAGCATGAGGGATGATCAAGCTTTGAGGGTGCAACACTTTAATCGAATGCATCATCGTCGTCGTCGGGAAGAGGTTGGTTGGCAGCTTGGGCGAGTTCAGCTTCATGCCTGCACATCAGAAACATTTAAAGACATCTGTTAGAACTCTGCCACACAAATTAATGAACTATGAGCAGAGGAAAAGAGTATAATAAGGCTTACTGTTGCTGAGTAGCCATGTCAATCTGTACTTCTGGTGGCCGCAGGGCAACAGCCTCCACAAAGTGAAGATTAGGATCCCTAAAACCAATAAAAATATCGAGCATCAGCTTATTATTAATCATACTGGTGACAGATAATAAAAACTAAGCAGTAACACTACTGAACTTACCCAGCAAGCTTGCGGGCTAGGTAGAGGAAAGGCTTTTCGAAGTTGTAGTTGCTCTTGGCAGAAATTTCATAGTACTGGAGGTTCTTCTTCCTGTGGAAAGTAACCTGCTTGGCCTTGACCTGTCTGTTCTTCACATCAACCTTGTTTCCGCACAGGACAATGGGTATATTTTCACAAACCCTGGGAACAAAGTAATAAGAAAACATCAGCCTTTGTAGAGATTAGGAACAAATCGTGTTGCACAATATTAAGCCTGACTAAAGAGTGCAGAGATTAAGACGTATAGACAAAGCCACATACCTGCAGAGATCACGATGCCATGTAGGAACATTCTTGTAGGTTAATCTAGCTGTAACATCAAACATGATAATGGCACATTGACCATGTATGCTGCATTTTGGAATACAAGAAGTTAGTCAAAGAAATCAACAGGAGTATCACATAGTAATAATATACCATCAGAGAATTGTAACAGGGATACTTAATCCACTGTTCAAGCAATGGTTTGAAACTGCAGTATACATTAGAATGATATGAAAAGCAACACTGATAAAAATCCTTCACTACACTCTTAAGAATAGAAAACTCTCAGCTTTATAACTTGATACCAGCATGACCGAACAATAAATCACAGACAAAGATATAAGCAAAACAACTAAGGACAAAGAGAACACAGAACCATAGAGTATGAAAAATCCCTACAGTGGCAACTGCAACATATCAACTATGGCATGGGCCGACCAATGGATTAGCAAACACTACTAAGGCACTACTGAAAGTGCAACCAGTAAGCCAGCCCATCAGTTTACATACGGCAGTTCAACCACCATATTCACGAAATTTCTAAGAGAGACAGGCGTACTAAGTACAACAAATACTTTTCACAAGGCATACACAACGCGATCCACACTTACTAGTATCCATCTCTGAGCCCACCAAATTTCTCTTGCCCAGCTGTGTCCCAGCAGTAGAACCTGATCTTCCCACAGTTGGTGGTGAAATCCAATGGATGTACTTCCACACCAATGGTTGCTGCAAAACCAACACGAGATTCAGCTTTCCCTCCAACTCAAAACAGGTAAGACATTACTCAATCAAAACTCAGTTGAACCAAACACTCACGCTCATATTTCTTCTCAAACTCTCCAGTCAGATGCCTCTTCACGAATGTAGTTTTCCCTGCATCACCCAGAACACATCTCTTCAATACAACCAACCACTCACAAATACTCATATTACTTACAATGAACACCAGAATTGTTTTCCACCGCAAGATCTATCAGCCTTAACAATACTACCATTCCAAAACCAGAGGAGATCTACGGAAAACAATAATCTTTCGCTCCAAACACAAACCAACCCACATGTAATGAAAGCGCGAGACACCAATAGTTCAAACCAACGAGCAAAAAACATTGACAGGAAAAATTTACCAGTTCCTCCATCGCCAACAATAACGAGCTTGAAGCTCGGGTAATCAACTTGCTGCTGGTTCGGCAGAGCCTACAACAGGGGGAAACCCAAAAAAAAAAAAAAAAACGAATCAGCCAAACCGAATCACGAAAGCAACAAACGAAAAACCCTAGCAAAGCAGCCAATTCGGAATGACGCGACCGGAAGGGAAATCGGAAACAACGGAGACCACAAGGAAAGCGGAGACGTACCATTCTCGCCGGAGATTCGAGGAGGGAAGCCTCGAGAACGAAGGGTTTTTCCGCTTCACGGGGAGGCAGGAAGGAGGGATGGAGAGGGCAGTGAATGAAGACGGCGAAGCTATGAAATTTTATATAGGGCAGAACCACGGCAAGCGTAGCTTGAAGATGCAGCGCTGCTTTAAAATTAAGCAACTACCTGGGCCGTTGGATTCGATTACCGAAAATGACTTTTTCAAATAGGATATACCCGGCTCGTCCACAGCCGTCCGATTAAATGTGTTTTGAGTTTTTCCGCTTACGCGGTTGCCTTCGTGAGCCTTTTTCAAATCCCTCTGTAATCCCGTAAAAAGCGACACCGTTTGTTAGGAGAACAGCAAAGGCCCACAACGGGCCCAATAGCCCTGAAGCCCGTTAAACACTGTAAATAGGGATGGCAAAAATATCCGTAACCGTGGATATCCGCCCGAATCCGACCTTGTCGGGTAAGGCAAAACCCGAACCCGAAGGACTTTTAGCGGGTACGGGTAAAACCCAAACCCGAATATTGCGGGTAATGGGTGGGCATGGTTTTCTCACTATCCAACCCGAACCTGCCCGATATACACATGCATATGTATTTTGTCTAGAAATAATTATTATTTTTCTCTAATATATTTTATATTTAGCATATAAATATAATCTTTTTCATGAAATTGTGTTGTTTTAATAAATTTTCTTCATTCTAGTGAATTATTGTCATACTTTTTGTCTTAGTTAATGTGAGAATACATGTGAATAATAAAAATATTGGTTGGAGTTATAAAGAGAAACTATTACCCATGAATAAACGTGGATACCCGAAACCCGAACGGGTATGGGCATGGTTTTGATTTTCTACCCGTTTCTTATGTGGGTATGGGTATGGATAAAACCCGAACTACTTTGGGTAGGGTAACGGATATGCACTATACGTCCCCGACCCGACCCGACCCATTGCCATCCCTAACTGCAAAGCAGTCTCAAAGTCCACAATTTGGGAAAGGTAAAAGGAAAGAAATTTGATTAGTCGGAGTTTTGTTCTTCGTCATTCTCCAGCAGCAAATTTCCGACGGATCGACCTGTTGTAATCAAATATGTCCACCGCGGCCGATCCGAGCAATCAGTTAGTTCTCCTTCGTCTTCAAATCAACCCTTTTGCGCTCAATTGTATAGTCCATTTGAAATTCCGTCTGAGATTGGTTTTGGCGCCGATGCAGGGCGGCTGTTGCTAGGAAGCCGAAGGCTCCGTTCAAGTTCTTGGTTCCGCTCATCTACGCTCCAGTTCTTCCCTTGAGTAAGCTATTCTCGTGACATTTATCGTTCAAAGTTAGAAGCTTTTTCCCGATTCTGTTGATGGGTGTTTGAAGGTTGTCTCTTTTTTATCAGTTCGGCTATCGCTGCGTAGGAATCCGGTCTTGAGGGACAGGTTGTTCACTGCTGTGTTGGCGGGTGCCTTTATCCATGGTGGTTACTTGGTGTATCCTTTTTCCTCCTGCCTCAAGTATCATGTCAATTATGGTTTCCCCTGTTGATATTCACCTGCTCCTATCAATTGATTCGTTTTCTTTTCTTTATGTGGGCATGCTTGTTGGGATACGCCTGCGATGATCGATCAATGTGCACCTTGCATACTCTTTTTGAAAGAGTGGCTATCTTGCAATGGGGAAACAAGTAGATTCTGATTCCATTGTAGCTTAGAAGTTTTTGTTGCTGCATTCTCATTTGCTCATATATTCCGCCTTTCGGGTGAATTGGGAAGCATGATAGCTCAACATTTGCACTCTCTTCGTAGGTGTATCTAGTTTGTTAGGCATTAAAATTTTGTCTTCTGATAATAGGATGGCGCATAGCTTATCATCTCTTTGGTGTTTATCAGTTTTACAGATTTCTGACCGTAGATGTCTGTTCGAGCTAGTTCTGTAATACAGCGTGGCTGTGCTGCAAAGCATCGGTATATGGATGGATAGATAGATAGTTGGTAACAAACTATCTCTGTGTGTATATAGGTGTAACTGGTAATGTTTGCTATTAGGCGTAGCTCGTTAATCTGTTTACATCTTGGTCTCTTTCCCATTTCTTATTGGGGAGAAATTATCAAAATATTTCTCTTTTTAGTGTTGTTCTTATCTCTTCTCCATCATTCTGGAGTACTTGCTTGGTGTTTGAGTACAGAAAGCAACATTCCATGCAATCGTCTGCATGTCCTTAGTGGAAGTGCACTTGTAGAAATTAGAAAGACTAGATTATACCGTACAATGCGACTTGGTTTCTTGTCGATTTGATTCTCTTGCCCACGCAGTGCATTTAGCATTTAGATGAACAGGCTGAGGCTTCTTAGTTTCAGGATCTCTGGTATTTTTATGATGGATGAATTAGGATCTCCTGGTGTCTCTAGGTTGGTTAGTTCTTCTATGTGGCATCCTCTTCCAGTTGCTACCTTGTGTTTCCGTAGCAAATCATAATCCTCTTGAAGTTACTGCTTCCAAAATCCACTGTCAGCATTTCCCCCCTTGATTGTTTGTCATTCCAAGCTTGGAGCTTCTTGCTCGTGCACTAGAACCGGTGACGAGATACACTGAAAGCGGGTTATTTCCTCTATTTCCCTGGAAATAACAAGCGGGGGCTATTATAGCAAGCTAATTACCACAGTGCAGGGGATGAGATCTTCACAAGCAAAGGGGAAACAATTTAGTGAATAGACTCATGAAACCAAGTCTTATAAGACTGCTTGGGTTCTAGGCTCTAGCCCTTCACTAGTCTTCAAAATTTCCATTCGTCGCGTCATTTTGTGCACAATACTTGCTCGGCTGCCTTTGAGATTGAAAAATCTCTTCTTTTTTCTTCTTTTCTTCCTGACTAGCCTAAATTGAACCACAGTTGATCCTAGTAAGCAGAGGGAACTCATTAGAATGATGTTTGATCTGCTACTTGTATTCTGTACTAGTTATCTTGATGAAACAGAACATTCCTCCCTCCTGCTTCTCGTCTCCTGTTAGTATTCCTTAATCATAATTTCCAGGACTGATTTATACGACGCCGAGAGCAAATGAAGTTTCGAAGACAGCATGCAGGATCCCGGATCCTAATTTTCTTGCCTTTTTTTTTTTTTTGACACACACCAAGATTTGATTTGTTGAGTTGATACTGTTGTATTCTTGTTATTTTGCTATTCGAATAGTTTTAGCGTGTCGATGAATTCCGAGTTGTTAAGTCGATGCCAGTTGAAAATAGTACCAGAGATGCAAATAGAGTCTTCCAACAGGTAGAAGAAGTCCTCAAAAGGGTGAAAGCTACCGTGAAGGATTGTTTCCAGCATCATGACTTGACTCTATTTCTACTGTCTGTCTGCATCAAGGAAATCTGCAGGCCGTGACAATATTTTCCAACCCTGAATGGAACTCGTTTCATGTGTTTCTCTCAAGTCGGAAGAAACCCGCAAAAGCGTGCAATTGGACGGTGAACATGGCGCCACCACTTCTGGCTGAGCCTAGAACCACCACCACCATTTGTAACTTTCTGCACTTTTTTTTTTTACACATACACGTCTTGCTCATGAGAAAACCGTGCTTTTTTTTTTCTTCTGTCAATTCTTCACAATCAAACATTTGTTTGCCCTGATTAGCCATTTGACATCCTCGAAAATCAAACATTTGTTTGTCCTGATTCGCCCTTTGACATCCTCGAAACTTCGTAAACGAATTACGAAACTGCGTCGTAGTTGGTCTATCGCCTTGGTTTCATTTTTCCTTCTCGCGATTTCTGTTACCAAAAACTCGTTCGAATGTAGCCAATTGAACGAGGTGGGAATCGAATACACGATCTACCGTTCAACTAGTAGTTCAATAAATAAATAAATAAGCCGGAAAAAAAAATTGTTGTTTATTAATCCGATTTCGGTTTAAAAAAAAATCTGATATAAAAAAAAAGCATATTCTTAGGCAAAATACCAGAATCCATCAATCCAATTACCTCGGGCGGCTTAATTATCTTTATTATGCATTAAATATGCATTTAGCATTTTGCTTAATATGATAAATCCACGATTAAGCTAATAAAAAACGCTGAATTATTCGATCCAGCTACAAAGTGCTACATTCAGAGCTCCAACCCCCAACCGTTTCCATGGCGGAGCTCAGATCGCAGGGAAACGATTGCAAAGCATAAACATGATTACTGACACTAATCTGGTTTTTTGCAACCACTACTTTACAGGATGAAGCTAGTTAATTCTTCTGTTACAACAAGGAACTAATTGAACAAACATTGATCCCTAGAAGAAGAAGAAGAAGAAGTCACCGGAATCATCCCACGCTTTTTTTTCTGCCTCCAAGCTAAAATTCATGGACGGAGAGACGGACTCACTGGCCGGCGACGGAGACGGCCAATGACACAGCGCAAACTCGAAAAAAAAACACTATTTTACAAATCTAAGGGGAAAAAAAGGGGGAACGGATCTAGGAAACGATCGAGATTACATTACACGAGAGGGACAAAGCGAGGCGGAGGCTAGGAGGAGCTGGTGCTGTTCTTGTTGTTGAAGTCGGAGGCGAGGCGGGAGGCGATGGCGGAGTGGTACATCGCGTCGTGGTGCGCCGACGTCCCCGAGGTCAGCATCCGGAGCTGCTTGGCCTTCTCGGCGGTGAAGCAGCCCGGGGAGAATCGAGATCTGGCCTGCTTCGCATCCAGATCCGGCCGATTCTCGTCCTGATCGGCCGCCGGCTGGCTCGGTGGCGTCGTCCCGACGTAGTCCGGCTCGGAGGACCAGCCGAAGAGCGGGGACCACCATTTCGGCGAGGAGGCGGAGGAGGATGGGGGAAGCTGCCTCCGGCGGTTGTTGAGGTCCGGGTTGGATGAGGCGTAGACGACGGCGGGGCGGAGGGGGAGGAGATTGCTGGCCATTTTTTTTTTTTTTTTGTTGGTTTGGAGTTTTCGAGATTCTCAAGGTCGGAGATTAGGAAGGAAGGTTTTTTTTGGGCGACAATGGCGTGTGGGGAGCTTTTTTTGTTGTTATGACAGTTGGAAAAGGAAGGAGGTGGGGCGGGCGGTATTTGAAGGAAAAGGGGGAAAGAGAAAAGCGAAAGGGAAACGGGATGAATGGATAAGATAGGACACGTGGAGGTGGCAGAGAAAGGAGCGGGGGCGAGGAGGGCATCTAACGCAGTAACGCTTCTTTCTTTATTACCGGCTATTCCGGTGGCTTGTCAAATGGGTCGGGATTTGGACTGACTCGGAGGTGTCTCGTGACTCGTGACTCGGGAGATGTGTTTTAGTTCCCCGGCCTCGTGATCCATTATTCCTAGCATGGGCTCTCAACCATTGGGCCGGACTAGAAAGCTGCCACCCCAATTTCTCAAGCGGCTCGAGTCCATTATTGAAAGGCTTTTTAGCTTATTCATTAATAACCCTCCAAAGGTTAATGTTTTGGCAAGCTAGCTTGGCCCAGGTCCCAAAACTAGGGATGGCAAAAATATTCGTAACCGTGGATATCCGTCCGAATCCGGCTTAATCGTGTAGGGTAAAACTCGAACCCGAAAGACATTTAGTGGGTATGGGTAAAACCCGAACCCGTATATTGTGGGTAATGGGTGGGCATGGATTTCTCACTATCCAATCCGAACCCGCCCGATTATACAAATGCATATGTATTTTCTCTGGATATAATCATTATTTTTCTCTAACATATTTTGTCTTTAGCATATAAGTATAATATTTTCATGAAATTGTGTTGTTTTAGTTAATTTTTTTCATTCTAGTGAAATATTGCCGTACTTTTTCTCTTACATAATGTGAGAATTCGTGTGAATGTTAACACATTTGTTGAAGTTATGAAGAAAAATATGTTTACTAATAGTAGCAGCGACCTAAGTTCAAATAACATAGGCAACCACTTAAATGTTTATATTTACCCATACACAAACTACAATTGGGGGATTATAATCGTTTTTCCAAATTTTAGGAGTGTCCCGCTACCACTTACATATGATTTTTACCTATATACAAACTACTATCGGGGGTTGAATAATCGTGCTCCCAAATTTTAGGGGTGTCCCTAGAGCTCCATGGATCCGCCACTAGATACAAAAGATCGCTTGTCTGTGGGTTCTTATTTTTTGAGTCTCGAGTACTAGACATACAAGTTGGGTCGGGATAGAGTACTCAGATATCTTAGCTTCCTCCCATTTTGAGCTAGTATGGTCGCGCGCACGACAGACTTATGTACATGTATATACTTTGACATAAAATGCTACCCACTCGAGTGTATGCGTGATAACGTAAGCGAGTCGAATTCGAATCTTCATACCGTCACAAACTCAACCAACACGAACCCTAATCAAGATATGGGGCTAGCCATGCATGTTATATCATATATGCATGAAAAATGAAGATGGGGATGCAAAGGGATCAAAAGGTTTGGTGGGAGACACATGAAGACACAATAGTCTTTTACAAGTCCAAATTTACTTGCTTGGAACTGGAAGCGCTATTTAGAAACCGAAGAAAGCAACGTGGTTGGGATCTTTTGAGAATATTCACGACGGATATAGTGACCAAACCCTTTTCGTCGTCCTTTCATAATGTCACACGCCCTAACATTTGGACGGTAAGTAAGCGGCCTTCATGCCTTTGATTATGCGGCGAGAGCTTAACCATTGAAAAGTTACTTCCTTTTTCAACGTGCATGGTGAGATTCAGGGGAAGAGGCAGGGGAAGAAGGGGGGTTTCTAGCCCAACTTGCCTCTCTCTACATTGATGGAGTTGGGGTTAGGGGTGGGCAACCGGTTCGGTGAATTCGAACCGCCTCGAACTGAAATCGAATTAAACCGAACTGAAATATCGAATTCGTGTTATTCGGTTCGAAATTCGAAAGGGAAATATGAATATTTCGGAAACCAGGGTTCTT